AGGTCGAGGAGGCCAACCTCGAAAAGGCCGGCAAGCGTGATCCCGAGCTCTACGTACGGATCCCACGGAGCCATTGAACCATGCTCGATCTTTCGTCCTAACTGCAGTACTTCTAGGTCCTTCTCGGTGTCATGTCTGGTGCTTTCCTGATTGCCGGATGGTGAGCATCCCTCCCGAAATTGCCCTACAATGCCTCGTGCCCTGGGTCGCCCCATTTCCGCCACTGTGACGTCGGCACTTCTTTGGCGTTTTACCTAACCTACCTATCACTCTCAATGGCGCATGCACATACAATAAGCACAACGGTCGCTAATCAGTTTGGTATTCGCGATAATATAGGTACTTCGGCCGCAAGCCCACCTCCGTGACCTCTGAGAGCAACGTTCGCATTGGCGAGAGTGCCATGCCCTGGCAGGGCCAGTCCGAGGATGGCAAGGTCTACAAGTACCAGTACCACCCTCACGGCGACAAGAACCAGCCCCTCCGTGCTGCCCCCAGCGCCATGAACACTGTCATTGTTCCCAATGTCACCCTGCCCGAGGTATGAATTCGCTGATACTTCTTATTTATGCCATACGTTGGATCACTTCAGAACTTGTTGAAAGTGTCATGTGTGATCGCGTTGCTGTTTTGGTAGTAAATGCTGACATTAGCTTCTTTCTAATAGGACCTCCACGAGCGTTTCAACAAGTACGGCAAGGAGGAGTGGGACTACTAAACGGCTATTGATTAGCCACAAGAAGTGCCTTAAGAAGTCGAATGAAGCGAACCGCCGCTTCCCGCGGCCGGCTGCTGTACACTAAGACCGGGGAGAGGAGAGGGCTGCGTGAACTTGCCATTTGGATAGCAAGAGATTTGTGCATAGTATCCGTATTCAGATAAAGAGTCAATTGGGAATATGTCTCTTTCTTCCGTTACATCCGTATCCTGCTGGCTTGGTTACAAGATTGAATTAGCAATCTAGAACCATACCTGACAAACCAGAGCTACAAGCGCTGAGATTGGCCAGCTAACTGACCTTGAATATTATTTTATATAGCAAAAAATATTACTGTCAATTGTGGCAACACTAAAAAAAAGCTAACATTGACTAGAGAAATGGACAAGTACTCTATGGAGTCTCATTATACATGGCAGAATCCAGTCTCCTCTTACATTTTATCTTCCGGCCACTAGCTAGTCGCATCATTGCCCTCGCTGGCAGGTTTGGCTTCCATGGAGCTTGGCTGCTCGACGGAGCGCTCGTTACCATCGGCCACAGACGCGGGGCTCTCAGGGGGCACGATGTCTTCGGGCGCGCTGGCAGTCTCGGGATTCTGGCCCTGCACATCCGGGTGCGGGGGAGCGAGCTGGCCATCGACGATAGGAACCTCATGGGCATTCTCCAGAGGATGACCAGCTTCATAGCGAGTCTCGAACTTGACTTTACCTTCTGCTCGGAGCGAGGCTACAAGGTTCTCGTCAAGAACTTTGCCGTTTTGGTCGCGGTACTCAACGCGCGCCACGGAGCCCTTAAGCTTGGGCGCGGTGACGGCCGCTGGGTCTGATTCTTGAACAGCCTCACCTGCAGGCGCAGGCGCAGGCTCTTGAGCCTGGACTGGTGGCGGTGGGGGTGGTGCTTGAGCTGCGGTTGTAGAGGCAGCCACGGGGGGGTAGGCTCGGCACGTACTGAGTGATGTACTGGCTCAACTAGTGGAGTCCAAAAAGCCTATGTCAGTCGTGATCTCGTCGATTCGTTCAATAACCTCGTCGGGGAGGTTTCCATTCCGGAACACTTACGTCGGTGTGGAATGTGTTACAGTCGAAATCCCAGGATCCAAGCAGCTTCACCTGGTTGCAGGCATCCCTAGTCCAGGGGTTGCCATACACGAGTGGGGCGTAGAGCGTGAATACAACAACGCTAAGACCCAGGAAGACTGCCATCAGAGCCTTGCCGATCACGGGCTTCGATGCAAGCCCCAGGCTCTTAATGCGGTTTGTGAGGAAGTCAAATTCTTGGCAGAAGACCATAATGGCGAAGTAAAGGGCAGGGAGGTAGTGATGCAAGAAGAGCTGGCGGGCCATGAGGTAGAATGGGAAATAGTGGAAGAACCAGCCCAAAACGCTGGTGCCAACCTCGTAGTCAAAGCGCTTGAACGAAGTGTGCTTGTAGTCATCACAGCTTCGTTGCCACCGAACAATGGAGAGAGCCTTGAAAACGAAATAGACTCCGATAGCCAGAGTGGTCGACCACCAAATAAGAGGGTTTCCGAGGAGGTAAATTTGGCGGTTGTCTTTGCCCCAGAAGTTGATGCCACGAAGGAGGGTAGGCCAGGAGGGCGGACGAGAATCCCAGGCATGGGACTCAACTAAGCCTGCGTTCGTGGTCCACATGACCTTCTGCAATTCCCAGAACTTGCCCAAGAATCCGGGATTCCGGTAGTTCACTCGCTCGGCGTCTGGGGCCATAGCGGGATGCTGGTTGGACTCAATATACCAAATGCTATTGGGAAGAGTACCACCCTTGGCGCAAGTCACTTCCTGCTGCTCGTATCCCCAGTCCGGAAGCTTGACCTTGTGGGAGAACAGGACACAACCAGTCATGACGTGCACCAACTTGAACTTGGACTGGATAGTCCGCAGGCGCTTCTTAGACTCCGGGGTCTCGGACATGGACTTCACAATCTCAACCCTCCATAAGTCGTTGGCATCACCAGGGAAGCCTTCGTATCCGTAGGCAGAGACCTCATACTGCCAGTCGGCCTCGGTCACCGGAGGGCGCTCGTCATGCGAGTGAATTCTTCGGTGAGTGATCACATGGTAAAGTCTGATAATCGAACCATCCTCAATGAAACCAGGAGCAGTCAGGTTATCCCAGGCGAACGGGCCCTCGACCTCTCCATAGGGTCCTAGAGGCTGAGTCGAGTTCTCCAGGAGGAACTCGTTGTTCTCATCCTTGTGGGGGTAGAGCGTGATCTGCTGCTGCTTGCTACCTGTTGGGTACATGTGAGGGTGGGAGTGCAGGTAGCCGCCCTGTGTGTTCAGGTGGCGGAGGCTGACCCGGGATCCAAATGAGACATCTGCGGGAACATCTTGCATAGACTTTGAGTTCAAAGTTGCCTGGAATTCCGATGACATGAAGCCGTCACCTTCTCCAGGGTTAACCAAGCATGTAAAGTGGATGGCAAACATGGCCATGTAGAAACCGAGAGGAATGACAATGAGACAGAATACCCGAGAGAAGAAATGCTTGAACCACAGACGCTGTAAGAATCCTACTGTTAGCATAGAACACGGCTTGATCTGAATCTGGAAACCCATACCGGTGTGACATTTTTAGAATCGCCCAACAGTACCCACAACTGGAGAGCCGTGAGAGATCCAACCCAAGCCATAGTGAAGAGGCCAACCCACTTCACGCTCAGGGTTGCGCCAAGAGAAAGACCGGTACACACGAGCCAGAACCACCACGGGCCACGGAAGGCATAGGCCGGTCCCAGCTCTTGTTGGTTGGTGAAGCAGCTGAAGGCCAAGGCTGTCAGAGCGGTAAAGAAAATCAGTGGGGAGTCGAGCAAAATCAGACGGGACTGAGTGACCAAAGCATTGTCAAAGATAACAAGACCAGCACCTAGGACTGAAGTTGAAGTTCGGCACCCGGTAACTTTGAGGGTGAGGAACATCAATGGGACAGTCAGAACACCCAGAATAGCTGGAAGCATGCGCATGGCCACATAAGGAACACCGGGCTCCAAATAATCCTTGCCAATATCCTTGAAGTCGAAGTTTCCGTCGAACCCAGCCAACCAACCAGCCAGCGTAAGCAGCAGTTTAGCTAGCGGGGGGTGCACGTCCATGAAGAATTTTCCCTTGATATATTTGGAAGCAAATCCACCGAAGCTGTTCACGCGCAATCATTAGTCTCTGTTTGTTTTTATTCCGATTGAAAACACAAGCTTGGGCGGAACGTACTGGACTTCATCGAAGACCACGCTGGTGGGCTGATAGATTCTGAATAGGCGAACAGCTGCGGCGATCAGAGTTACCAGTACAATAAGTCTATAGTCCGAGCCGGGGAGTTTGAAGATGTCATTGTTCTTCACTCCCTCCGAGGCATACGTCTGAGGCACCGCCAAAGGCTTGCGGTTCTTGGGTTTGGGCGACCGACTGGGCGAGCGCCTACCACGGCTCTGTGGCCGCACGGCCAGCGTGTCTTGCGCTTTCTGGCCCATATTGTTTCGATACGACGTCAGCGGTTCAGGAGAACGGCGCGGGAGTCGGAATCGAAGTCGGAATGTCGAGGAGAAACGATATGAGGATTGCGTGTAGTTGAGTTATAGTTTGAATTGCCAATGAGAGGTTTCTCAGGGTTCGATGGACGAGTGTACGCTATCGAGAGCTATGTTCGACCTCGAGCTGTCAACCGTTCAATAGCTTCAAACAGCACACCAATTAATGATCGTGTAATAATGAGGAAAAAGGCCCCATGACAGGGAAGAAGTAAAAGACTAAAGAAAATTGGCTGTTGAAGAGAGAGTAAGAAAGAAAAAAAAAGTTGAGAATCAAGAACTGGAGTGAACGCGGATGGACGAAAGCGTGCAGTGTGCAGTTCCGCCTTGAGGCCAGATCAACGGCGGCTGTGGAGGACAACATGTGAGCCCCTTAGTTTTTAGCCCCTAGTGTTCTAACGGGCTCTACAGAGTACGCCAGTAGCATGTAGATTTGAAATACTATACTTTTGGATATCTACATGTATATAAGATGATCTAGAAATCAATTGACTATAAAAAAGAGAAAGTAAACATTCCCGTGGACAAATGCAGAACACAGGAACATGGCCGCGTGCACGGGAGGCACCGCCACAATCCCACAACCTACGCCACAATCCAATCCCCGCCACAACACACACCGCCAAAATTCACACCGCCGTCAAAATGCCACTCTTTACGGCGGTGAAATGGTGGATCCATCATTTGCTTTCCTACTGGCAAGACCTCTATCTCTTCATATCCTTGCCATCCACCATGGAGCCATCCAATGGAACTACACCTCGCCCTGAGGGGTCTGAGGGGGTTATCAAGCCTCCAGAGGGTATGGTTCTTCCTCCCAAGGATATTCGCAAAGCCATCGAGACCACAGCAAGCTATGTCGTTCGCCATAAAGGTGTCTTTGAAGACCGTATCCGCGAGAGGGAAAGGAACAACTACAAATTCTCTTTCCTGAATGCTGGAGATGCCTACGAGCCATACTATCAATGGTATATCGCCGAGTACAGAGCAGGTCGAGTCGGACCAGCACGAGCTGGCGAGGCTGTCGCCGCTGCGGAACCCGAAAAGCCCAAAGGACCACCTGAACCATCTCCGTTCCACTTCTCTGCGCGCATGCCTATTATCAATGCGCAGGATTTGGAGGTGGTGAAGCTCACGGCGATGTTTGTCGCGAAGCGGGGAAGTCATTCATGACCGCGCTGGCGCAGCGCGAGGCCAGAAATTCCCAGTTCGACTTCTTGCGCCCACAGCATAGTCTCTACCAATTCTTCACGCGTTTGGTCGACCAATACACTATCTTGCTTCGCGACGAGGGTATCGATGACGTGACTTCAGCCACGAAGAGAATCGAAGAGCTGCAACAAAGTGCAAAGAACAAATTCCACGTCATGGAGCGCGCTAAGCAGCGCGCAGAATGGGTGAAATACCAACGTCAACAGAAGCAAGAGAAGGAACAGCAAAGTGAACAGGAACGCATTGAGTACGCCCAGATCGACTGGCATGACTTCGTCGTGGTCGAGACTATTGAATTCACCGAGCACGACAACCACGCAGACTTGCCACCGCCGACCTCCGCCAATGATCTGCAGTCCGCCTCCCTCGAGCAGAGAGCATCCTTTTCCCTCAACGCACTCCGTATCGATGAAGCGATGCCCAATGGCCTTGACGAACCCGTCTACTACAACGCCTACCCAGTTCGACCAGCACCGATGCCCGTCCCTCAGCCCGCCCCCCAGCCCGCAGTCGCGCCCTACCCAGCAAGCCCCTACCCCGCAGCCGGCCAGTTCACCAACCCTGCCGAAGACCAGCGCATCCGCGAGCGGACCCAGGCGCGCGACCAAGCCGCCGCCGCCCAGGCAGCAGCCCAAGCCCCCCCAGGCCAACAGCCAATGCGCATCCGCTCAGACTACGTGCCCCGCGCTCAGGCCCGCCGTCAACAAGCCCAGATGGGGATCTGCCCTTACTGCAACCAGAAAGTGCCCTCCAACGAGCTGGACGAGCACATCCGTATCGAGCTGCTCGACCCGCGCTGGAAAGAGCAGCGTGCCAAGGCCGAAGCCCGCAGTGCCACCACCAATCTGTCCACCGTCGACGTGGTCAACAACCTCAAGCGTCTTGCCAGCCAGCGCAGCGACGTCTTCGACCCTGCTCCCCTCGACCCCGAGGAGGAAGCTCGCCGCAAGCGTCTGTCTACGGGTCTCGATGCCTCGGCTGGCCCACAGAACCCGAACGCCACTCCCAACCCCCAGAGCATGAACATCGAAGATCAGCTCCGGCACATTCACCAGCTTGCCAAGAAATGATATCTTCCCCGGCTACGTACAGTTCAGACGGGATGTTCTCGTTCGCATTGAGGTTTTCGCGGGTTTTCTATTTCAAAGGCTATCTTTTCTGCCATTTGTGGAGTTTGGGAGGGATGGAATCTGGATGATGAGCTTCTTTTTTCCTATTTGTGTACAATAGCGCTTTTTTATTCTTAGCCTCATGAAACATCTTGTCTAGTCCATGCTTCTCTCCATCCTGTTTAGTACTTGGATCCTGTCTATATTGCGTATCAAGTAGTGGTGATTCTGGGCATTGGTGACTAGAACTGGCATGCGTTCCTCGCATCTTCTACGTTTATTATTATAAGAGAATAGATGACTTTGTATGCAATTTGATTCAAATCGTCTATCATTTATCACCGAACTTCCACCAATAGGTCCCGAAACCAGCATTGCCGCGAATCAAAAGTGGGCACAGAAAAAAAGGAGAAAAAAGAGAAAAAAGAACAGAAACAGTGAAATCCACAATGCCGCACCTGGTCCAAATGTCCGCAAAAAAAAGAAAGGGAAAGGGGAAAGGGGAAAGCAAAACGCATTATTATGTATACATGGTTGGAAGTGAAAAGTTGATAATAATACAGTAGGCCATGCTGCCGAAAATGAAGAGAAGGATGTCCAAAAAGCCAGAACGGATGAGGAACATTATCAAGGTGTAACCCAAAGGGTTATTAAAGGTAGAGGTAAAAGCAGAAGCAGGATTTCCAAAGGGCAGGTCTTATCGACGACCTGGAGGAAATAGAAGAAATTAAGTGACTGAAGAACGCAATGCCAAGGGGTGTAGTGAAGGGTGAAGACATTAAGCGGATCATTAAACGCTGTGTAAAACGTATAGTCGTCTCACTCGTGTTGATCGCTTGTGATCAACCGAGGTAAAGAGTCGCTCAAACCATTAGGTTTGGCGATGTCTGTGTCTGTCTCTCGACTCTGCATGATCGAGGGTTCGTTGGGGGCAGGTGCCGTGGTATTGGCATCCACGTCAGTGCTGGCTTCTTCATAAACGCTTGCTGCTGAATCAATAGAAAGTCGCTTGCGTTGCAAGTCATCCAAAGAAGCAGCATCATTCCTGTCATACATAGGACTTTGAGGTCGAGGAAGATCAGGGGGGTTATATGATCAGTAGTGGATGCTCTAACTGGTGTTTCCGGCGCGATTTGATCAGCAACGGGTACTTTTTCTGTCCTGGGCTCGAGATAAGTAACGTCCACAGGATAGAGATACTGGTCGTCATCGTCTTGGACGCCAGTATTAGGCTCTGTGCTGGCCGGCACATCCGGTTCGCTTGGGCGATTGCCCAATGGAATGATGCCTCCTCCGACGCGGGACCAGAACATCCTCTCTCTGAGACGGATAGTCTCATCCCAGATTTCCTTTTCTTCTTCGGTATCCCCAGCCCGAAGATGTCCATCAAGGATGAGACGCAAGTAGCCAGTGAACTCGCAACATGAGCGCACTCTTTCTAAGCAGAGAATGCAAAGGGAGTACCTTTGAGCAGTCTCGCTGTCTGACGTTCGGAAACGATGGGTTCTCGCATTAGACGTGCCGGGTCTGCGTTCACCACAGACAGAGCAGGGGAACTCGAATTTCTGAGCTGATGTGGGCATTGGCTCGACGACGAGACTGCCTTCACAGATACCACTTAGAACGGTACGCCGCGTCAACCAAGAAATCCCCGGCGCTAGATCTAGTCGCAATGTAGGTTCGATATCCTCCATAAGCACCCGCTTGTAGAAGCGAGTTTCCTTCAAGGAAAATCCCGAACCCGTTGTGGAAGATATGCTCCCATTAGGGGAGTAGCTAAACCCTTTGGTAGGTGATGAGGTCGACGATGGAGACCCTCCACTCGCAAAGCTTGCCAGGCCCATCACGTTGAGGCCTCCATATGACCCACTAGCAGCACGGCTGGGAGGTTTTGAGCTCCGAGAGAGTACCAGCAAATCGCGGAAATCCTCATAAGCCTGCAAATCCGCGCGACATACCATGCGGAGGAGATGAGGGAAGCTAGAGGAAGGACCCGGGGTGAACTCCTCCGGGTTGCCAATCAATATAGGAACGGGTTCAAACTCAGTGTCTTGGTTAGAACCTTGCGCTTGTGACTCGTCCGGGGACGATGGACTGTTAGCGAGACGGCATTCCATGTCATCTTTGTGAAGATTCATCGTTTGCATGACAGACTTGAGCTCGGCAAGCTGGTCTTGGTGCGATGCCAGGAGTAACTCGGTATCTTTGACTTGTGAACGCAATTGCTCATTCTTCTTTTCCACCGCCTCTCGGTCAATTTTAGCCGAAGCTACCATCTAAAGTAACGTTAGAATTTAGTACAAAATGCATACGTTGAAGGAGATTACCGACCTTATTGGCTTCTTCAAAAAGAGCCGCAGTGAGAGTTTCCACTTCTTGCTCAATATTTTTCCTGCCCTTTTCAGCGGCGAGACGCAGGGTCGTTTCTTCTGCTAATGCATCTCGTAATTGTGAAATTTCGCGATCAGAGTCGACCTTCTTTATATAGACTTGGTTATCAATATCTCGCCGATATTTCTCGTTCTGGTACTCCAGAGCTTGAATTTTGCCCTGAGCCAGCTCTAGCTCTTGCCGAGTAGCGACCAGGTTATCGTCAAGGTTTGTTTGGTTGTTGATAGCCTGGATCAATTTCACAGACAATGCCGCTACTTCGTTGCTCAGATCCGGGTGGTGAGACGATGACGTCGAATGCGAGACCTCCGACCCGATCAGCAATCGCGGGTCTTGCAATGTGCTGAAACTGCTTTCGTAATATCCGGAGTTTTGCGCTGCATTGGCAGCAGCGATCTCGGAGAGATTGGTGGTGGACTTCGCTTTCGTGACGGTTCGGTCAGGAGATAAGGACCGGTGCTCGGAGGAGAGCGACCTCTTATGGGAGTTGCGCGAGATCATTTTGGATGGGGAGAAGAAGCTATGATGCGAGGTCTGAAAGGCAATTAAACTGCCCCACCTAAAGCGTCAATAATTGAAGTCGCGGTAATCTTGATGGATACTTACTCGGCCATGGTGAGTGACGTAGAAGGCGTTCGGGATGTAAGGGAAGAAATGGATCGCTCGTCGCCAGATCAAGATCAAAAATCGAGATCACGTCCAGGAAAGCTTTGGTAGACAAGATGCTATCCACGCCATCCACACCAAAAAGACAGGTTTTAGAATCGAAAGTTCGCGCGTGCGAGTAGTCCACGGGGGTACGTGATAGGGTAAAAGATAGCGGAATCCGGAATTCGGAGTGAGGAGAGTCGGACGGCTGCAGAGACAACAGAAAGGAATGTGTTGAAAGTGAAGAGAAGGATTGAATCGCCACAAACAGGTCTGATCGGAAATATCAGCCTGTTGAGGATGTCGAGGAAGTCAGGGTTGCAGCGCGAGGGCGAATCGAAGCTTAGTCACCCGGATATGAACCCGTGGACCGAGCACGGGTGGGCTTATTGAAAGATTGAAAGATCGACTGCTTACGTCGTATGCACTTGTAAAGGGAGTGAAGACTTCAATATGAATATGAAATATAAAATGGGCTTGAGGGGAAGGCCACCGTGAGGGTAAATCCAGCATTGCCACCGGGAGACGGAACGACGGACACCCCGGGCGCGTCTGATAGCCCCCGGGGGATTAATTTGGAGCTAACCCTGAAGCCTTTCGCTTTTTTTTCCTGAGATTTGCCCCTCAAGGCGCAGTAGAATGGATCCCAATTTACCGTGTCGTTAGTGGCTGGCTGTGTGATACGCGTCTACAAAAGTACTCGTCAAGGTCTTATCACGCAGAACATGCCGGATAGCGTTGACCACGCGAATATAGTAAGATATTAGGCCATTAAGCCAGCCAATTAGAGAAATAGACTAATGGATATGTACAAATAGGCGTAGTTGTACGGAGGAATTTTAAAACATTCCAGTCCCACGTGTAATTAATTCCCCAGGTACGGGGTACAATAGGAGACTTACTCCGAACCCAGGGGACATTGAATATATGTACTCTACGATGTAGATAGTGTTGAATGATTCTGTTGTTATTCACTACTTATTGCTACATATCTCTATTTAATATTATTATCTTTTGTGGCTTTTAAATTTATAATCATCTACTGTAGAAGGTGAGGGTGAGGACAACTACAGAAAATATATAGATGGTAGTTAAACATATATATAAGTCGTAGGATTATGACCACAATGACATTAAGTATTCAATTCCTATTTCTACCAGTAAATATATAAGCAAATTGTTGTATAACTAACTATTTCAAAACTACCCCAGAGAACATTGAAGTATGGTCGTCCCACCCCTCCGTACTCAGGCGAGCCCAAGTGGGGTACACGGAATTAATCCTTGATTCTTCAACACTTGATCACTCCAAGCCCCTCATTTGATTTGAATATCCACCATGGCAGACGCAGAGCTAGAAGAGGTCAGTCCCACAGCCCTAGCACGAGAGAGGTCTGCATCCTTCGATTCCGGTACTAAGAGAGAAACAGATCCGCCGAGCTCGTCTCGCGCAACTCCAGCAACAAGGAGGAGGTGGAGGTGGTCCAGCCGGTCAGGATGGTGGTGAGCAGGCACAGCAGAGGAGGTAAGTGTTGGAATAAGCCGCAAGAAGATGCTGTATGCTAATGAATTCAACCAGACAAGCCGAGGGTATGTCCCTTTAAACCACCAACTCGCAGGCGATGACGTCCTTGTATTTCCGTATCTAACCCATCTTGATTCATTCCAGCCGAGCAACGCGCTTCGATCCTGACACAAATCCTCGACCCCGACGCTGCCGATCGCCTGGGCCGTATCCGCCTCGTTAAGGAGTCGCGCGCAACCGATATCGAGAACCGCCTTATCATGCTCGCCCAGTCTGGACAGTTACGGTCAAAGGTAACAGAGGCACAACTTAAGGAGTTGTTGGGGGCTGTTGCGGAGAACCAGCGCAAAGAAGAGGAGGAGCACAAAATTGTCATCTCTCGCCGCAAAGGTGGGTGGGATGACGATGATGATCTCTTGGACCTGTAAGGGTCGCATAAAATGTGATCGATGATCACTTGTGCCTATGGCCCTTTTGTTTATTGCATTCGGATACCTCTGTCGCTATCCGCTCGTGGCCACTGGGAAAATCTACTCCAGGCGTTATGGTCCTTTCTTCTACATTTGCAGCTGGGTTGAATTCAGGGCAATCAGCCTCGCATTTGCGCATCTGCGCATCGGTGATATTGTTTACAACGATTCAATAATCATACATCTCTCCCTATATTCGAGATTTCATCGCTCCGACAGGACGCAACCCAGCTCAGTTCGAAGCCTGCTGCTGTCTCTCTTTTTCCCGCTTCTGCTGCTGCCGAATCATCTTCCGAATCTCTCTTAGATCCGGCGGACGCTCAATATTCAACTCAGCTCTAAGCTCGTCCACATCCTTCTCCAACACCTCCTCCCAATAAACATTGATAAGCTCCTTACTCCCCAGCCCACTGCGAATAGCCCACGGAAGATGTAACGAGAGGAACCGCTCTTTCTCGGCGGGCTTCATCCGCACAAAGGCAAATAGACTCAGGCCCGTCATGGGTAGAAGTGTATTCAAGAACTCCAGCGCCTTGAGAGCGAGCTCGCCCTCCACGAAAATCGGTAGACCCGTCACTGCATGGTAGAAATCATGGCACTCGCGGTATCGCTGCATGACGTATGCACATTCTTCATTGTCGATATACTGGACGTTATCTCGGGTGTCGGGGGATACGCCCTCGCGATCTAACCATTTAGCGTATGTCCGGCCGACGGAGTTCTCGGGGAGGGTGCGGAGATGGGTCATTTTGAGAGTTTCGGAGGTGATACGGGGACGATCGCGGAGAATACGGCGCCCTGTTGGATCTGAGAGCATAGCATCGCGTAGTCGGTATATGAAAAATGGTGTGGCGGTGGCTTCGCCCAAGGCCGCAATGAGATCTATAGAGTACCATGTTAGATCGTGATCCGAGATTCTATTCTGGTTATGTAGGAAATTATATCCACGCACCCGCTCTTCTAGGGTTGATAAGGGATCCAATTGCCGAGCCTATAGCAAGAGCCCCGCGTTCAATAGTGGTCAATGGGACATGGCCGGGGTAGTTTGGTGGTGGGCGGTTCAGCACGGAAAAGGGCCGTAGAGTGCTTGCAGCTGATAGATTTGGGCTGGTAGCCAAGGCTCGAAGCTCAATTGCTCCACGCCTCCCAAGTACTGACATTATGAATCCCAAAGCTAAAGGAACTTGTGCATCGTCTGGGACGAAAGCTCAAGTGAAAGCCGAAGTGGTACGATTATCAGATCGGCAGGGACGGCACGAGTGGTCGTCGTGCCCTGCCGTAGTTCGCGATAACGCCTTTATCGATAACCTTCTGCTCCACAGTGTAGAGTGAATTTCAGACACACATCGACGCCCATTGAGACTACTAAATATTCTTTTTAGGCTATTGGTTTGAAGGAACAGGAGATAATAGAACAGACTACTCTGAAGGTGTGTTCTAACAATTGTATATCTCTCCAACTCAATCCCTGTCTTGTAGTATATGCTGACTGGAGGAAGCATCTCAAAATCTGCCAAGAAGCCAATATGAAGCCAGAATGGTGGCCCGGAGAAGAGCATGAGGCCTTCACTGAATGGGCAATCTCCAATGGCATAGATATCAACTCGGTGACCCCAGCCCGGTTTCAAGGACGTGGTTTGGGAATGATGGCCACTCGGAACATTAAAGTATGACTATGAGCTCTCGAATCTATATCTACTTCTCATTTGAAATTTGCTCACTAAGTATATGTTTAGAAAGGAGAAATTGTCCTCCAAGTGCCGACACAGTTGATGCTAGGGGCCGAAGATATCCCTTCCGCCTTTATCGACAAACTCCCAGAAGACATTGCCGTACAAGCACTTCTAGCAGCGTATCTCACACACGGTGCACCAGATGAACTATCAAAATACGACCAATGGCGCAAGTCATGGCCCAGCCGAAAAGACTTCGAAGACAGCATGCCGATCCTTTGGCCAACCGTCCTGGGAGGACCGCAGTTACCCAACAGCAAGGACGACGCCTCGACAGACTCGAAGCAGCCAAGTCTTCTCCCGTCGTCCATTTCAGGCCTCTGGAATACTCTACAGCCAGGCCCCAAAACGAGGAAATACAGCTCAGATCACCAGAACATTCTTTCGCAGCAGGCCCAGCGCCTGCGCAAAGCATGGACGGACGTCATTTCTGTTTTCCCGGAGACCAACTGGGAGACATTCTCCTACAACTGGCTGATTGTGAATACGAGGAGCTTCTATTGGATTGGAGAGGGCCAGGAAACGCCGGAAGACCCTAATGATGCGATGGGGCTGGTGCCATTTGCTGATTACTTCAATCATGCGGATGTTGCTGTACGTACTTCGTCTGAATTCCATACTACTGATAAAGCTAACACTAGATGGAAACAGCGGGATGTCAGATTCGATGAGAGTGTATATGAATTTCGCGCTACGAAAGATTATGAGGAGGGTGAGGAAGTGTTCATGAACTATGGTAGTCATCCGAATGATACTTTACTAGCAGAATGTGAGAAAGTGTTGTTATTCTTTTCCCTTCGACGTGCTGACTTCGTCGCTTTAAGATGGCTTCTTCCTCGATGTGAATGAAGCAGATTCGATCTATCTTGACGATATTGTTTTTCGGGACATTCAAACTGCCCAGCAGCAAGAGGAATTGTGGCTGAATCAGTATTATGGGTATGTGGTTTGATTGATATTTTACATGACAATGCGCATTCCCCACGCAATATATATAGTCCTCCACTGACACAGCGCTAGTAACTACCAAGTCACTCCACACGGACCCTGTTACCGCACAGAGGTCGCTGCATGCCTGAGTTATATGAAGGAGGAGGATTGGCGGAACCATGTTCTTGAAGGCCA